GTGTATAAACTATATCTGTCATCTATCTATCAATCAGTGTGTCATCTTGCAGTGTTTTATGCTTGGCAACCACTATCAAAAAACAATATTTAAATACAGGTTAATGACAACACCTGTACTGATTTAAGGTCCACAGTTAAAAAACTATTCCTTCTTAACCCTACAACACATGGACAATGTTTTCAGACTTCTTCACTAACGAGAATGATTTTAATATGATTATTAAAACACTATCTTGGTAGAACAGAGGGAGATTTAATAAAATGCATTTCCAAACACAGCCAGGCTACTGTGCACATGTTAAGAGGAGTTTCACAAGATTTGCATTACACCTGATGGCGTGTTATGATCCTCTACTGCAGTGTGTGTAACTGAATGGAAGCTGACCTGTAACACCTGCAACAGTCAGATGTACGGTGGGGCTATGACGTCCTCTTCTGTTCTGGACTTCACAGGAATAATTCCCACTGTGTTCAGGTCTGAAGTCAGTGATGGTGAAGTTCTGTCCTGAAGCTTTTGGTGACTCTTCTTTCTCCTTGTACCAGGTGTAATTAGCTGCTGGGTTAGCGTCACTGCTACAGGTCAGAGTCACTGAGCTGCCCTCCTCTACCTCAGCAGAGGGACTCACTGACACTGAAGGAGGCTTTGGAGGATCTGCAGGAGAAAACATTGAAATGTTGAAAGGCTGGAGAAGCTAAGTGAGTAGTGCATGTTGACTCCTTCCTGAGCAGCACATATTGTTATACTGGATAGAAAATCTTCTTAGTTACATAGTGGAACAAACTCACACACTGAGGGAGAGGCGTGATCCTCATGTCCTTTCAAAGCACAAGAGAAACCATCTCCAGGATCAAACTGGCCTGTGTAAGAAAAACTTTGCTGGTTCATGATTTCCTTTCCATTCTTGAACCACACGTAGGAAGGACGAGCAGCTGGACTACAGCGGCTGTGACACTTCAGCTCTACCTCAGTATGAGACTGATGGGCTGTTACTCTGACCACCTGCAAAGCTGGATCTGTGAGACGGAGCCAACAGTGTCACTGGTTACCAGTAAAAACACACAGGTGGTCATCTTTACAGCTGTAAGTGAAATACTTTGAGATGTCACTCACTGAAAATGATTAATAACAATAATTTATTTGTTTATATAGCACTTTACAATACCCAAGGGTGCTCAAAGTGCTTCACAAGAAAACAAAAATAAAAGCAAGTTAAGACACATAAACAAAAAGGAAAACAAGTTAAAATTACACAAATTTAAAACCAAGGACTGAAGCAACTATAAAACTCCCGTACAATAAAAATGTGTCAAAGTACAAACAGAATAAGATTACAGAATATAAAATCAGAAAGCCTGAAGGCACCTGTATAGCACCAATGCTATAAATTAAATGCTGAAAGCCAGTCTGAATAGATGTGCCTTTAATTTAGACTTAAAAACCATTAACTTAGTTACAGACCGAAGCTCAGGAGGCAGGGTGTTCCAGAGCTTTGGGGCATATACAGCAAAAGAATGATCACCCCACTTTTGTACCTTGCCAACGGGACAACCATAGACAAATGCTCAGAGGAACGCAGTACTCTGACCGGGGTATAAATAGTTAAAAGATCAGACAAATAGGCTGGAGCAAGCGCGGTCCTACTGTACTGTACTGTACTGTACTGTACTGTACTGGAAGCCAGTGAAGAGACTGAAGGACAGGGGTGATGTGAGCATACTTGAGTATTTGACAGTAGGCGAGCAGCCACGTTCTGTACTAGCTGGAGCCTATGGAGGAGAGACTGGTTAATTCCAGTATAGAGGGTGTTGCAGTAGTCAAGTCACAAGCTAATGAGAGCATGAATGGCTTTTTCTAGGTTGACTTAAGATTTTAAGGGCTTCACCTTTGCCAAGAGCCTCAGCTGAAAGAAATTTATTTTGACCACAAAACTAATCTGCTTGTCTAATTTGAGGCTGCTATCAAATATCTCTCTAGGTTTTTCACAGTTTGAGTGAATGAAAGGGCTGAAGCTCCTCCACCAGGTACAATGTGAGTAGAGTCCGGGCTAAAAGATGTATTCAGTCTTCCCCTCATTCAAATGAAGGACGTTCTGTGCAAGCCACTGTTTAATATCATTCAAACACCTGTGCAAGGGGGCTAGTGCATTCACATCACTCTGCATCAGCATGAAGTAAGTCTGCACATCATCAGCATAAAAATGAAAGCGGATGTTATGCTTAGAGATAACTGAACTTAATGGTAGCATATATAGTGAGAAAAGTATAGGTGCCAGAATTGCACCTTGGGATACACCCGAGGAAAGAGGGGCTATTGCGGAGGTAGAGTGATTGATCACAACTGAAAAGGTCCTATTGGTCAGAAAAGGAATAAACCATTTGAGCACAGCACCACGTAAGCCGATGCAATGTTCAAAGCGAGAAATGAGAACTATATTGAACATAGTGTCGAAGGCTGCTGTGACATCTAGAAGCACTAGAACAACAGGAATCTTCGCATCAAGGGCTGTAAGAATATCATTGTGCATCTTCAATAGCGCGGATTCAATGCTGTGCCGGCACCTAAAGCCTGATTGAAATTTATCGACAACAGCATAAAGTTCAAGATGAGACTGTAACTGTGTGAGTTTCTCCATAAACTTGAATAAAAAAGGCAAATGTGAGATTGGACAAAAATTAAAAGGGAGTCTGAGGTCGAGATTGGGCTTCTTGAGAAGTAGCCTACTACAGCATGCTTACGGGCAGTGGGGACAATACCCAGCCTGAGGCAGCCGTTAATAAATGTGACCAGGCAAGGCCTAATAGATTAATGACTTCAGCCAAAGTGAATGTAAATATCAACTGTATGAAGGTGTTTGAACATTTAATGAGTAGGGCTCAGTCTTCCTGATAAACTACAGAGTGAGCAGAAAAGAAAAAGCAAAGGTAAACAGCTGCCAAACCCTGGACACTGAAAAAAAAAACTATTAGTATGACCAAACTATAAGGATTCTTTAAAATTCTCAATAAAGCCATTAGTTACAGCTTATAAACTCCTTTATGGGAACCTTTTTAATTTGCTTAAAAATGTGTTGCTGTGTTTGTCAGTTTGTGTAGATCAGTACCTGTGACAGTCAGAGTTGTACCAGGTAAACTGTTCCCAAATTCAAAGTTTGATAGGTTGAATGTGAAGCGATACTGGGCTGAGTCGCTCTCTCTCAGGTCAGTGATTCTCAGAGTGGAGCGTCCTGTCTTTGTCTCGAGGACCTGGACACGACCTGCATACTGGGAGTCTCTACTAAGGTCCTCAGGCTGTGAGGAACGCTGCCAACGATGGCTACGTTCAGGACTGAACCAGAACTTGGATGTGACAGATCCAAAACTGTTGTATGTGCAAGAAATGTCCACTGATGAGCCTCTGAAGGCACAGATGGTTCTGACAGTGTAAGTCACTCTGTTGCAG